ATACAGAAATTAGGAGGTTTATTAAAAATCCAGCCAGAGAAAAAAAATTTGTCTAAAGATGATAGAATAATCAATTTACATTCTCTAGTTAGAGATAGAGGACAGGAAACTGTTGACCCATATTTCATGTTAGAATGAAAGATGTACGTGTAATCTTGAGGGAACTGATATTCTTTGTGGAGTTCAAGCCCACATTACCCATTTTCAGTCACAGACATTGCCAGTGAAGTATCTCACCAGCAGTTGATGTGTAAACCAGAGATATTCACATCCTTTAAAATGTTGAGTTTTTCTATATCTATTCTACAACAGTGGATCAGAAGAGTCCATCCAAGTTCGGTTTATGGCAAAATTGATTGTGAAAAATTGTAAATTGACTGAATTTAAAAACATAAATCACTGGGTGTCAATTCAGAAGTTTGAAAGTTGAGCACTCTTTTGAGAATAGCAGGTCCAGCGTTTGATTCCTGGTAGGGTTATAAATAAATGTTGCTGAGGAGACCATATTGGAACAAAATAGGGGTTAAGCGGCCCCTGGTAGTTGAGGTCAGTCAGGAGCGTCAAACTACAAAACATAGTATCTCAGTTTATACGTTACATTTACAAACCTTACTTACACCCGTTACCTACCCCTCGTGAAGAAACATAGGCCGCCCACCAGCATTCTTTATTCAGCTCTGTCCTGGGCAACCCTTTCCAGTTGCTATCCATACTTTTGATGTCTGCTTCCAATTCCCAACGCAATGTGTTCTTTGGCCTTCCTCTTTTTATTTCCCTTCAGGATTCCAAGTTGGGGTTTGCTACTCAATGCAGCTGTGATTTTCTCAATGTGTGTCCTATCCACTTTCGACATCTTTTCCTAATTTCCTCCTCAGCTGAAAGCTGGTTTGCTCTCTCCTATAGTAGGCTGTATCAGATGGTATCCGGTCAACGGACATTCAGTATCTTACGTAGAAAATGGTCCATAAATACTTGTACCATTTTTGATTATGGTTGTGGTGGTTCTCTAAATCTCAGTTTTGTACAGTAGGACTCTTTTGACGTTTGTATTGAAGTTTCTGACTTTGATCATGGTTGACAGTTATTTTGAGATCCATATGTTCTTCAACAGTAGGAATGCCGTCTTTGCTTTCCCAATCCTTGCCTTTATGTCTACATCAGATTCTCCATGTTCATCGATGATGCTGTCCAGATACATGAAAGTTTCCACATCTTCCAAAGATTCTCCATCAGATGTTATTGCGTTGGTGTTCTCTATGCTGTATTCGAGAATCTTGCTCTTCTTCCTGTGTATGTTGAGGCTTACTGATGCAGTGGCTTCTGCTACTCTGTTTGTCTTGACTTGAATTTGTTCGTGTGTATGGAATAGAACGGCCAGGTCATCTGCGAAGTCCAAATCTTCAGGTTGCATCCAACCTGTCCATTGTATTCTGCGCTTCCAGACAGATGTCAAAGTCTTCATAATAGAGTCAACCACCCGAAGAAAGAGAAAGAGGGTGAGTAGTCAGTCTTGTCGGACTCCGGTCTTCACTTGAAATGCGTCCTTCAAATGTTCTCCATGCACGACTTTGCAGTGTAGTCCGTCGGATGAAGTCCTGATGATGCTAATGATTTTCTTAGCTACTCATTCTATAGTGTCGAGTAAGATTCCTTAATATTCTCCTATCCACACTGTCAAACGCCTTCTCATAGTTAAAGAATTTGATGTGTAGTGGCGACTTTCATTTAATTAACTGTTCAATGATGATCCGTAGCGTTGGTATTTGGTCTGTGCACAACTGATCCTTACAAAACTCAGCTTGGTGATCTCGAACTTGGACGTCTACTAAGTCTTTCATCTGGTTCGGAAACACTCCGTTGAAAACCTTTCCTGGTACTGACAGCAGTTTTATGCCTTTGCAGTTCTCACATTTGATCAGATCTCCATTCTTTGGTATCTTGATGAGTTATCCTTCTTTATAGTCTGTTGGTACTTGTTCTTCCTCCCAAATCTTCCCAAATAGAACGCGGAGCATGTTTAGTTACTTCGACATCTGACTTCACTGTCTTGGTCAACATGCTGTCTGGTTGTTATGCTATGCCATGATTTATCTATATGATGTCCTTGCCAATTTTTTTGCTTTTAGTAAGGTGGCATATATAGAAGGTCGATGTGTACTGCTTCGATATCCGGTGGGTTTAATAAGGTTGGTCTATTCAATAACTTTTCAAAGTGTTTTTACTCACCTGTTTTGTTGCTCATCTTAGTCATACTGAAACTGCAATTATTAACATCAATATCCTTGAATTTCTTCAATTCGTTGTATTATGGACATATTTTATTATAATTAACTATATTTCACTCAATACTTTATCAAGTCTATCATTCAAAGAATGAAGCATAGAGAAAGTAGATCACTGTCAATTATTTATAGTTAGTTACAATACTCTAACAAAATTGTAATGTTTTAGAAATAATGAATGCCAAAATTTGTAGAATTAAGATTAAGAATCAATTATCTAGATTTTTTAAGTATATACATCTATAAAGTAATCAAACGTTATGTGCCTAACAAATTTGATCAGTTGTACCATTCACTTTATATCTGAACATTTTTACTTTTTGTATAACTAAAAATTGTGGATATTCTCATAATGAACAATCTAACTTGACACAAATTTCTTAAATCCGTTAACAGGCAGTATGTTCTTTCGAAAAGCATAATTTTTTAACTAAAAAGGATAGTGACATAAATAATCCGTAAGATATTTTAATTATATAGAAAAGTAAGAAAAATCATTTCATGTTACATTATCCGATTTACCTTGAATTGTAAATAGCTACTCGTTCACTTGAGAAAACTTTCTTGAAATCATCAAATCACTTTTGATTCATACTTTTTAGAGATGTTAACTTTATTTGATTATTTAAATCAATTGTAATAAATGATGATTTTGACTCATTTTCTTTAATTGTATCATAAGATTTTAGAAGTTTTCGATTACATTATTCAAACTGGTCACTTGTGATGAATATTAAATTCTTCGTAAAATGTTTGGATAAATTGTTTCATTTGACTGACTGCACAACAACAACTTTGTACTATTTAAATTAGTTTCTTTGGAAAGATTCTTTAGATTTAATCAACCGAGTGAATAGATACCAATTCATATAACAATGATTACTCCTCAACAAACATTTTTTACACAATAAAAGTTTTAAATAATTTCATAATTAAGCATTGAATAAACTACTCTTTTCTTAGCTGCTCTATATCTTGAAAATTTCCAAAGTATTTCGGTTTTATTTCATCGTTGATATCAGAGCGTAATGAAAATACTGAGTTCATCAAACTGTATAAGATCATTCTGCAATTATTATCTAAGAGAAACACTTTAAAATCGACATAAATCACTTTAATTGATATTGCGATCGAATTATTTCTGGAACTTCATTGACTGTAAACTTTCATCCTAACACAACCATATCTAGTAGTTCACCATTTATTTAAACTTGAATATGGAGTCGTAAGCTTGACCTCAATCTGTAAACAGCAGTGATCAGTTTTAAAACATGAAATAAATGACTAATTCAAATATGTTACCGGCGTACAAAAATAAAATCTACGAAACTGGACTAAGTGATATTCGAACCGCCAATCGAGAGGAAAATCGAACTTCGTAAAAAAAAAACAACCAACTGCAATAGCGAAAAGATATCAGGTTGTCAATTTACAACTCAAACATCCAAGTCTGTTTTATTGGGTTAGATGTTTGAATCTAATCTAAATACTCTTGTATGAACAACATAGTAGAAAAATTATGCTTCAGACAGTAGGGCGCGGTAACCCGGTATCACTATTTTTTTCATTTCTTCTTAACATAAGTGATATAATATGGTGAAAATTCGTACAGATATCCAAATACTTTGAGAATTTATCCATCAAGCCATTCGACGAATACATTATCTGTTAAGAGCATTAAAAATTCTAAAAAGTGCAGATTTTAAATTACTGTCTTTTAGATAACTGAAGATAGCAACTCAATTAATGCAGTCGGTTACAGTTATAATTTCTTTTACTGAACACATCTATATTTCCTTAACATTTGTCGTAGACAGCAGACAGGTTTATTACAGTTATCTTTTCATATGATGAGGATGTTTAACATGACAACCTCTACTTATATCATCTTTTTTTCATAAAACAGTGTTTATGACATAAATTTCGTTATTTCATCGAACAAGTGTTTGAATGCATATCATTTAGGGCAAGCAATGCTAAACCAATAATTGATAATAGGATCGAGATATCATGATCCCTTTTTTCATTGGTGTCTGGATCCGCCAAGCATCATCAGAAATCAGTTCTCCCTATATATACATTAAACATGGAAAATTATCTGGAAACTAACAAAAAAGAGCTTCTTACATAAGAACATTTGTACTTTGCCATTCCTAACAATTTTAATGGTTACAAAAATTAATGGAAAAACAACTGCCAGACAGAACTCGAATCAGTACAATAATTCGTACAATAAATTCAGTATAACAAAATATCCAAAAAAAGAAAAAAGCCAAATACAGTAAACAAATTTTGACAATGAACAAAAAGAAACTAACATACAAAAGCTATACAAAAAGGAAACACACAAAGCAAATTAAGGGGATTAGAGATTTTCCTTTTTTCCTTTTCACTTTCTTTGTTCAAGAATAAATCACGATGAACACAAAGAGAAACAATAGAAAATAATAACCATAGTTGTGATCGTAATGTTATTGAATAATATTTAAGGGCAAGAGGGTTAAGCGAAATAGAAACGACAAATAAACGAACAGAAGTATTGGGAGAAAATAAAGAAAATGAGTCAATAAATAGAGAACTAGACCAGTACGTAGGTACATGGCAAAATAACAAAACCACTAAGTCACGGAAATAACAAAAATGTCAACAAAAAATCAATGGTCCGTTAAAATGTACAGTATATATATATATATATATATATATATATATATATATATATATATGAAAGACTAAGTATTTAGTATACAATTTGTACTTTAAATACTGATTTAACTTGGGTCTCTATCGTAAATAAGGTGGAGAAATACAGTGTATATGTCTATGATCCAATTGACGAGTTGACTTTACTGGGAGAAATGCGCTACATTCACTTGGTAATAGTAACTGAACACGACTTTTTTTGGGTGAATATTCTTCGTTGGTAAGATCCCAATAGTGACTGCTGAATTTAGAAAAAGTTAAAAACGAAATGAAAGGTTTATTGAAATGCAAAAGTGGTGAGAATTAAAATTGACATATTGAATAAATAATTATATCAAACAAAAAACAGCGATCTATTCCACTAGTTTTTAGGATTTATAGTGGTGCATGCTAAACATACTCCCTAGTGGTGGATTAAATAATACTCACAATGTGGCTTACCGTTTCATCGTTGATGGTGGATCATATTCCTTGTTAATATCTAGGCCAATTATATCTTCAGAATTTTGTTCTGCACCATCAGATGCTCCACGTTTTAAAAATATCGGACGTGTTAGATTAGGATTATTTAGAGTAGGTGAACAATTTAAGTGCTGTTCTTGAGACTTTGAAATATCCAGTTCACATGGCAAACGTTCCACAATCAAAGGAGGAGGGGATGGTACAGAAGGAGATGAATTCAAATCAAAATCGATTACTGAGTTTGAACCAGGGAAAAGAACAGTTGTATGGGACCTAAGGATGTCTGAACTACAAGGAATTGCCCATTTAGGATGACGACCTGATAAATACAAAAATATAGACAGAAATTTAAAAACTCAGCAGAGAAGAACTGATTAATTTCAAGAATACAACTAGTAACGTTTACTTGTATGGTTTAAGTGAATACACTGTAAATAAGCAAACGCCACACTATTTACGACGTGACTTTAAAATCATTACATGATTTGCGTCGAAGACACTGATGATCATAGAAGTGAATTAGTTTATTAAGAATAGTCATGCACATGATTCAAGTGAATCGTCCTCATACACTGCATTTACTTCCAATGGGTACATTTTACTCATAAATGTACCTGCTTCTGATGTGATAGGTACTTAAATCTTATTTCAAACAGAATTTTCACTGTACAAAAATTGACAAGTTTCAACATGAGAACAGAGTGTGAGTTTTAGTGCCCTTACAGGATGACAAAGACATTTGAACTTGTATGTTATGCACAAAAACATGACCTATTTTTGGCACACGAGCCAATCTATCAGCCATATATTTGGACTAAAAGAGACTGAAGGGCAGGGATGAGGGCGACAGATGTTAGCAATTCACAAAAGGGGGGAGAAGTGTGACATCCACAAGCTGAAATGAATGTTTACGACGTTAAGGGGATGAATATTAAAAGGGGGTGGAAGGAATATACAATACGAGGTAAGGCGTATTAGTCACCTAAAATGTTTAGACTGGTCTGAAGTGAATAATATACAGGTCATCTGATTGCTGCCCTAAATTGAACAAAGGTTAAATTGTATGGATGCCAAATACAATGTCTGTGTTTGACGATCACTTCTAAAATATAGCAAGACAGTATATGAAAACAATTAAACAATCATTAATCTGTGTGAACTTCCAATCGTTGAGTCTCGCTAATATGATTAACGGACATTAATTTTTCGAAGTTTTCTCACACAACTCAAATACTTGTCGTTTAAAAATAGACTAATCTTAACTGTCACTATTTCGACTAAATTTGAACAAGTGATTGCTATAACGTTAAAAGAAGTAACGCAACTTTGCGTACTTCCACTTCATCATGATTTAATTGAGGTATTTTAATGAGTAAATATCATCATTAAGTGAATAGTTTTGATAACAGTGAAGTACACATAGAGGAGTAAATACTAATTTACATTTACTAGCTATTTTAGTCTATCGATACGACAAGTATTCTGGCTTTGTTTTCACCAAAGTGATTGATTCTATTGGTTGGGGCACCAAACACAATACGCGAGTGCTAATACATTTGATCCATAATATTGAGATGAATTCTTATAGTATGAGATTGTCTAAGCATAGCATGTACACAATGTATCACCGGGATGCTGATCTTAATTTCGTAATCTAACTAACAACGAATCAAGTTTTCTATTTAGACAAATAAATAAATGCATTACTACATTCGCAAACGAAACAAAAACAAAATCCAGTTGAAGTCAGCCAGAAGGATGGGGGGAAAATATGTTAGTCTTGTCAAAACAGCATAGATCTTAATGCAAATCGGACGACAGTTTGAATGTTACCTTAACCCTAACAAACGCAGTTTACTGTCGTTTAATTAATGAAAAGGACAAAAATAATGAGATTACACCATGATTTGTGACCTAAATTTGTTGACCTCATGTAAACTCAGAGAAAAATCCACTTAATTTGAGATAATCTCGCTCAAATCTTGATTATAGCAGACAATAGTAATTAACTGTGGGCTGCTTTTCTGTACGGGGCTATAAATAGTATCCGTTGTGTAAGGTCTAAGTATACCTGACTTTTGAATGTGACAAGTTCTTAACCGCTACACCTAGTGATTAACAATCCACCCTAGACACCACTATCACAACTCGACATATCATGAGGATAACTTAAAAAACAGAACAGAACGAAACGTCTTAACCATGATAACCATAATGGAAAACAAAGAATTGTTAAAAATGAGAAAATGTTGATAATGTAGATTGCTTTCAGATAACTGTCGTATAAGATCTAACAGGCTAATATGCAGTTGGACTTAGTTTTAATAACTTCAAATTTAGTGTCAGTTTTATTAAAATATTCAGGATATAATGAGATGACTATTTTGAACAATCATTTACTAAACAGAACTGTTGACTAGGCCGTATTACCAAGTGAAACTGATAAAATAAAACATCACGACAACCATAAACTACGATAAATGTTGTCACAATACATTGCTATTGAATTATAGGTTGGTAACAAACACTCAGTTTTTATAAATGAAACACGAAGTGACTTAGGCGATAGAAAACAAAACAGATCTGAAAGATGAGGGTAGAGTACCCTTAAGAGCAACAAACATATGCATTTGACATAGTGTTAATTAAGACATTTAATGCTGACCAACTAGTCATTTAGGTCCTACAATATTTCCAAAACAAACCTACTGGGGTCCCACATTGGAAAACAGGCAATAAATTAGTCCTATAATAGAATTCATCTGGCAAAAGTAAATTGCCCACGTTACCGCACTAAACAAGCTATAAAGTATTTCAAGGAGTCAGGAAATGCATTTCAATTTCTTTTTTCAGGCCTCGATTTCAGGAAGCAGTAATCAGCTACTCATTAGTTGAGTTTAACCAAAAGACATACCCATAAAAGAATCGTCGGAGACAAAACGTTAATGGACTTACGAATAAAAGAACCACCATTTGGCAAGATATTTGTTATGGGAGCCAAAGGTTTTAAATTAACTTCTTCTAAATATGCTACTGCTCCGCAAAGCGTATTGGATACTTCATCAGTATTGTTGTTGAGAGCGGGTGAGGGGGAATAAGAATGACTCATTAGTGTTGGTGCGACATCACTGGAAGGAGGTAGAGAAGATGGTAGTGGGTAATCTGAATCCCAGTTTATGTTTTCTTGACTAAGATCTGCCTCTAGAACTTGTATACTTGGACAGTGTACTGAATATGAACACACTGAAGAAAGTAGACATGGGACAGGTTTAAGCGCGTTTTCGCATTCAAATTCTAGATGGCCGTTTCCATTCTTGTTACTCCCTTCACAAAGCTCAAAATCGCGGCTTTCACTTTCACAGCATTTCACAGAATTTTCTGTGGAAAAAGGAAAAGTTGGAGGAGGGGCTTTTGGTCTACAATGACGATACCAGGGTGATGATAATGTGGTTGTAACTGGACTTGGGATGAGACTATTTGGATTCTTTTTAGTGCTAGAAAATAAATGATTTTCCAAGGAGTCCGGTTTTTCAATATGATAGACTAATTGTATTTCCTTGTTCTGATACAAGATGTTAGTAGAATCCTAATGGGTGAATAAAGAATAAAATAAAACACCTAAGATTCTAGTTGTCAACGTCAAAAGAAAACATTTTTTTGACAAAGAAACACCAACTTGAGAATAATAACAATGAATACTGTCGGCACGTTTTTGCCATTAAAATCCACTGAATTTCTTTACATACTTCATCAAATAAATATAAAAGTTGAAATACAACGAACCTGAATTAAAAGATGCTCGACACGATTGGCTAACTGGGTTACGTGACCAGATTTGTTATTTAAAATACCAATGGTTGAAGATAGACCATTACCAGAATCCGTAGTATCTTCACTTTGTCTGTATGTGGAATGTTTTTTATTGCAATGGGTTTTCAAACTTTTACGAGAATATCGGGTTGAGTGTGTTTTAAGTGTTTGCGAAGCAGGTCGGGAATTTAGTGAAAACATATCTTTTCGGGACTTCTGGAATCAGAAAAATTTCATAGGTAAATGAAATAATAGTTCACAGATAACCTATTTTTAAAGAAACTATAGTTACTGATTTATATAGGCAAAATTATAATCAGAAGTAGTTTTTTAATACGAAAAAAGAAATTTTTTCAGGATGCCTAAACTACTTATGTAGCCTAAGTAAAAATTACAAAATTTTAGGTAAGAGTGTATAGTGGTAAACAGATACATATACTTAATCTAACTAGCACAAAACTAAGGTCATGAGAAAGTTTTTGAATCATGGTAGGGTGTTTTAGGTGAACACTGGTGATAGGTAAGAACTAAAATCAAATAATGAAGTTAGCCACATGGTAATATATTGGAACAAAATACTAAGGATAGAAACAGGACGTATCACTAGCAGCAACAGTTATTTCATTTTGGCTAATGAGTCAGTAAATATCAACGTACCATATCAGTAACAACCGACTTTACCTCTTGTCGGGCAATTAACGACTTGTCCAGTTTCATCCAATAGGTCTCATTTAAATTTGAAGAACACATTAGTTTACTATCAGCAAAAAATTTATCTCTCGGATCCAACGAACCTGCATGGAATTTCATATAAAACAAAGTTAGATGAGAGCCATTTTAAAGTGCAAGTTTATTGAGATACACTATGTATTGTAAAACCTACTACTAGCTGTTTACGGAAAGTGAAACATTTGACTTTTTGTGACCGAGAAACCACAGTTTGATGGGGTGAGTCAGGAATAGGGCTATTTATATGCATCAAAAGCCAACCAAGTTATTAAGTAATTGACATATTGCATTTGGAAAACTCGCTAAGAAATGCAAAGTCAGAAATATCATCTGGAAAGCAAACAATTTGACAGTGTTATCATGTAATTAGTCAGCTACAACGTAGGACCACATTACGTAATCGAAAATCAAATACAGTTTGTTGATACTTTGTAAATTACTGTTCGCCAAAAGAATGTTTGATGTGACACGTAGCTTGAGAATGCGATTAAATAAACTAACAGTGGGAAATGTTGAAAATGTAAAATGTTAAAAGAAACGAAAAGAGAAATGGTCGAAATCAGAAAATATATTACAGAGATTATTAAATATAGGATCATAAAATTATGTATCACCGACTAATTTGTGGTATATCGTTCAAATTTTGCCTAAAAGTAAATCGTTTCTAGTTGCATAGTCCCTTAAAGATATTTTTTTCTTTTTAGTCTTTCCTGGTAAGCTTAACCCAATATTGCCCACCCAATGTTCTCACCTAAAGAGATCAATATCACAAAGTATATACGATTCTGATATAACTTTCACGGGATAGATGTTCTGTTACTTACTGAGAACGACAATACAAAATAAAATGTTTGGCTCTGTAGCGATAACTTTCTTACACAGGTATGGCAGGGTATACATAGTAAATATCTATCTAATAATTACTGAGTTTATTTTAAGCTAGCATACGAACGTGTGGAATTATTATCAGCTAGAACTGAAATTTACATCGTTACTTGCAGATTTTATACGTGCAGAAGTAGGGTGTGATGTTGCATGGATGACCACTTTTGCTCTTACCGACTAAAACATGTGTAGAGAAAATACACGAAAAAATAACAATATGATCGAACAAAATTCTACCGTTTGACGAAAACAGTTACCAATAATAAAAGAACCTCAATAATGTTCGGAAGTCAAAAAATTTTTAAAGGCCACTAATTTTAACCAAATTAGTGGCAATATATTATGTGTCAAAATTTCATATCCTAGATATTATCAGGAGCGAATTGGAATTTCGGGGACATTTATGAAATACTTTACAGAACTAAAACATCACGAGGAAGCAAAACTACTATAAAAACATAAAAACACCGAATTAAGCGTACGTTTGACACGACTGCTTTTGGTTAAACTTGGATATTTGTAGTTTTGACAATGTACATCTTTAGACTGTTAAAGTAGGACATAAGGCAACCAATAAGCTCTAAGGTTTATTTAGTATTTTGAAAGTTTGATTACCGACCACCGCAAACTAAGTAACGGGATTACTAAATAACCTGGCTAAATGCAGTATCAGCTCAAAATAGAAAATTGAACTAACGAGAAAAGATATTTTATCAACAGCTAATTGCAGACAGTTAATGACTTATTTTCAAAGTTGGCCAGACTCCCGGGAGTCTGGACATTGACGACTTACGAGAACTGTGACGTTTGACAAGCAGCGATGAGACCCATTCTTTGTAGCCATTAAGTATTGTATCTGAGGTTCACCGTATATTAACTATGTATTGTTTGCTTTTTATCTATATGAATATTCTCCAGACTTCGAACATGTAACTTAGAAAAAAGCGAGCAGTTATTAAGCGAAAGTTCAAAAGTTCTCATAGCGATTAGTTTTCAAGAAAACTTGGGGTTTTAACTTTCAACTTAGTTAGTATTCAAAGACATTTCATGTTCCATGCAATATGAATTACATTTGTCAGTGTGATCGCTCAAGTCATATGGAAAATAATATTTACAATTAAAATAATGTGCAATAATAAAAGTTTTCGGTAAAAAGACATAGAGCATAAGGAATCCCAAATTAGTGATGAATCGGTTAAACGATTTGCCATTCCACACCCATATACAATGGGAGCTGTATCACGTGCAAAACAAAGGTGAAGCCAATACAAAAAACTCACTTTCTGGTGTTTTCAAAAACTCTGGTGAACTTGTGCAATTATGGTGCCGAACATTACTCGACTCCAGTGAAGACATACCAACTCGTTAACAGAGTGTAGTTTTGGATGATGCGCTGATTAGCTTACTCAGTAAAACAAGTTGAATTTCAATAAATAATAAGCAGGTTTGGAAGCAGGTAACAAACCAGGTCTTATAAAAACGAGATCTGTAAAGAATGCACAACTCGTGATTGTTTTTTACCACTCCACAAGTAGAACACGATAGTCAATACATAATATTAAGTATAGCAAACGTGTTAATATTAGAAAACCTGGATACATAAAATTAATAAGCTTTGTCAGGTGAAATCTGTCGAAACTAAAGGCTTATAGAATATGAGAGTGTTAGTAAATTAGTTGTTCACTTTCAGTATTTTTCTGAAATGTTTGTCGACTTAATCCGTATTTTCGTAGTAAAATAGTAAGCTATAACGTGTACACTGGAAAGTTGCAAAAACCTGAATTTATCCCATTTTCAATTATCACTTGGCCATTAAAAATCTAAGGGAATTATAATAAAGACTTCACCCACTTGTAGCACTTCAGCACACGAGGACTTCCGTTAGCTTCTCAGTAGTCGTGTAATGATAATTAAGCGATATAACGGACATTGAATACCAATTTAAACTATGTTGGTTGTACCATTTTTTTCAAATTCGGTCAATCATTATATCCATATCCAGTCACGTGGTATGAGACTTTGATGTCACTCCTGACATATTGCATCGTAATTTCCTGGTGAATTTGGTTCCTAATCACATGGTCGTTAAGGCTGAACATGCATCTCTGTCTGCATCGAATTTCATTTTTTCCTTTCAATTCTTACCTATTCCTTCCGTGTTTTTTAAATGTATAAGATTATCCGACAAAACCGACGTCCAAATCAATCACACTTAGAGCATTTGCTTTCATACTCCTTAACTTATTGACTCAGTCGTTCAGTCATGAAGTGAATACAATGACAATCACTCAACTACCTTTAAAAGGTTACATAACGTCGAATCTCGTTACGGGGCGTCTTCCTGAATTCTCTGCTTCAGACTAATGCTAGAGTTTGTTACCAACCCATCATCTTATCATAACTGCCCACTACCTAATATACTCGGATTACATGTCAGTATTCATAAACCAAGAAAAACCATGAGGACCCCGATTTCGTTCACACAGTCTGAATCCAACTAGACATAAAAAATACCCTCAAATCTATATTCATTTCTTATGTCTATATAACGTTCACCTTCATTTGGAAGGTTTTAAAAATTCCATTATGCATTTTCGTGTTGTATGTGAGAAAACTATCATGCTTAATTTCGTTAAATGGAAATTTCTTCGTTTCGCCTTTTTAGTTAAAATTTTACTTCCATCGTTATCTGTGTGCAGCTATATTTCTCCTTAACCATACGTTCGTTTATAATCAAATTACTGATGGGCAGCTTCCAAAACGTGATAAGCTCCTTTATATCGCAAAGGATGTTACTACTACTTTAGCTTTGTTGGACTTCATACTTTCAGTTCTGTAGGGTACCATATTGAGTGGTTTTACTCTCGTATAATATTGGTTGTTTTGATTGACCAGACCCACTCCTAGCGGACAGAGACCTAACTTACTGTAGGCTAACAAAGCTTGCATTTTTGTACTTCCAACTTCTCTTTTTTGAGCTGTTTGATCAGTGAGTCTTTTCCATTTTTCAGGCAATATGACTGTTTCTGAGTGGTTTGAAACACGAATACGAGTTTGCTAGTGATCAGCGTCTATTCCTAATGTTTTAGTAGCTTACTGTTCTGTAGTAAACCTCCCAAATCTGTTCAGTTTTGGTATATTTACTTAATTGAAGGTAAAGGCCAGGGTCACTGATATTACAGATGATTTTCAAAATTACAGAATTTCATACAAAAATGCATTATACGTTGACGAATGGTCGACAAAAGTCTCACGAACCTACTCGGAGTTTGAGATATATTTTAAACCTGTTTCTCATCAATTGCAATAAGTGGCCGCTAACGATGCTTTACACATGACCAATTGTGCAAGGTTACCGTAAGATCCATTTTGATTGTTTTGTGTGTTTGTGAAAATCCCTCCATGTATATACTTGCCCTTTGTTCCTATTGATCCCTTTAGTTGTACATTGTTGTCTTTTGATTACATTTGAATTGTTAATATTTGTATTTTATTACAGTTTTATTTTTATTACGCCTCCGCTAAGTTTTCGTGTTTCTTCCCGAACTGCATCTGTGTTGTTTTACTTGACACTTGTTCTTGGCGGTAGCCATATTGATTTGCTCCTCCTTTTGTATGCTCTATCCAGTCAGGATAGAATAACGTTCATTTGTTGTGACTGGTAATTTTCCCTCATCTTTCATCAACTACTTTATTTATTGTAATTTAGATTTTATTGATTGAACAATTATTGGTTGAATAGCCGGGTGGTAATATTTGTTTAGGTAACGATTTACATTTAAATTTATGATGAATTATAGAACCGCTATTTACCCGATTACTTGTTTTGATTTCGACGGGAAAGGGCGCGTGTCTAACGTACCTGGAAGGCTATTCAGCAGTCCAAACCGTAGTTTGGATCTTACAGTTCTAATCAAATATTTTGGTCGTATTCGTTTGGCTTTCGTTTCATTGATTCCAATCATTGTCTCTGGGAATATTTGGTCGTTCGCTAGCGATGCCAAACAATCGTCGAAGGAAATTAAGTCCAAGGCTCGTGGATGTTAAAATGGATGAACAAAAGAATTGATCCCCTCAATCAAGGCATTGCCTTCTGATGCCTCTATGTGTCATGGTTCATATTCTAATAGGGACGATTGTAATTATAGTGAATCTAGTTGCGATATAATGGCAGATGGCATACAAAACCTTAGTTTAGACGTGAAGCAAGCGAAAAGCGTGATGCCTACGGCGCGTTTCGTAGTTCCCGAGTTACCAAAGGTTGAGTTAAGTTATTTCGATGGTCAACCAAGAGGTTATAGGAAATTTTTAAGGGAGTTTGAGACCTATGTAGAATCAAGAGTCAAGGATGATGGTCAACGCTTGCTTTATTTGATACATTATTGTAAGGGCAAGGCGAAAACAGCCATTGAGGGTCGTGTTATGTTGGAAGCCTCTTCTGGTTACAAGAAGGCCAAAGAAATTCTAAAACGGTTGTTCGGACAGGCGCATGTAATCGCTAGGGAAACTTTAGAGGACTTATTCAAAACTACAAATGTTGACTACAGTGATCCTGAGCAACCGACAAATCTAGCCATAAGGATGGAAAATTGTTCTATGGTTGTGAATCAGATGAAGTATACGGCCGACTTAAATTCTCTAATTACTTTAGAGGGAATAGTAGGACTCTTACCTCAAGTTATGTAAGCCCAGTGGGCAGACTGGGTGGATGAATTGACGGAAGATAATAGAGAACCGACTTTTGACGAGCTTACCCAATTTATAGCATCCCGCGCGAGAGTAGGTAATAGTAGGTTTGGACGGTTAGCGAATCGTCCGAGAAAGGGACACAACTTAAAGACAAATTGTCACTTGCAATTGGAGCAGGAGAATAATTCGAGAGAGAGAGAGAGCTAAATGCAGTGTGTGTTCCCAGGACCATGCTATCTATAAATGTCCAAAATTTTTAGCGCTTACCGTTCAAGAGAGATGGTCTCACGCAAAAGTTAATGGCATCTGTTTTGTCTGCCTTGGGCAAGGACATAAAGTTAATGAATGTAAGCTGGCAAAACGTTGTAACGTTAATGGCTGTGAGAAGAAACACCATTCTTTGCTGCACAGTGAAAATGATAAACCTGGTATCCCGAATTGTTGTGGATTCACTAAATCCCTAAGTAGCCAAGTGTGCTTAGGAATGATTCCTGTACGGTTGATGTTGGGAAATCCCGAAATGGTGGGTTATGCTTTGTTGGATAACGGGTCTGATGTAACGTTGATAAAATCGAGTTGTTTGAGGTATATCGGGCTGAAGAAAGACCGAGCGTCAGTGGTAGTAGAGACTGTGGGTGGTAATAGGACAATGACGGTCACAAAGACTCCTTTTGAGGTATATTCTCTAGATCGGTCTGAACATATTACGATCGAAGGAGCTCTGATTGTGGCAGGTATACCAGGTCATAAGCTAACAAGGTCGGCAGCGAACAACCTAGTTAAGTGGCTACATTTAAGGGATGTACCAATAGATAACCTAGACTCTGAAGAAGTTCTGCTGTTGATTGGTTGCGACGTACCAGAAGCACACTGGGTGTTAGACCAGCGGTTGGGTGGAAGAAAAAGCCCTTACGCTGTGAAGACGTTGCTGGGGTGGACGGTCTTCGGACCTGCGTCATATCCAGAATGTAGGAAAAGAGTGGTCGATCATACCAGTAAGATACAGACTTTGGAGAACGAAATACGTAAACTTTATGATGTAGAGTTTTCTGATGTTTATTCAAATGATAAATCAGTATCAATAGAACATAAGGCGGCTATAAGGATTGTGAAAGGGGGGCACACGCTTCGAAAATGGTCATTTTGTTGTTCCTGTACCGTGGAAAGTGAACCCAAATATGAAAGGGGGGAATTATGAAGTGGCAAACAGTAGACTACAGAGCTTGAAGCGTAGATTGTTGAAAGATGACATTCTGTATATCAAGTATACAAAAGGTATTGAAAGTGATTTTATTAAGAGCTATGCGGAGATCCCTGAAATACGATTGCAACCTAGTTATCGCCCCCGGTGGTACTTACATTACCATGGAGTTTTAAATCCGAAAGAGCCAGAAAAACTGAGAGTGGTCCTTGACTGTGACGCCAAGTTTGCAAGCGTTTCTCTAAATGATATGATTTATCAAGGTCCCGACACAACTGCTGAGTTAGTGTGTATATTATTGCGTTTTTGCAAAGAAGCAGTCGCAATCTCTGCGGATGTCGAAGAAATGTTCATGCAAGTGAAGGTCCCTGAGTCTGATCGAGGAGCTTTAAGATTTCTGTGGTGGCAGGAGGGAGACATGTCGAAGGAACCATCCGAGTTTCAAGTGGCATCTCATCCATTCGGTGCCACACCATCGCCGTTTTGCGCGAACTTTGCCTTGAATAAGACTGCCCAAATATTCTCTGACGGTTATGATGGTTATGTTGTAGAGGATGTCAAGAATAATTTCTATGTTAATGAGTACTTGGTATCCATTCCCACTTGTGATCAAGCAAAGAGTTTCATTAAGCATATAAGTGAATTATTATGTAGAGGAAGTATACAAAAAATGACTGATCTTGAATCTTGGTTCAAATGTCCTACTTTATTGCATGGCGAATTTTACATAACAATCACTGACTGTCCGGAACCTACTCCTGACGCTATTGAGTTTAGAAAAACTGCTGTAGTTAACTTGAGTAGTATAAAGTACAACATGTCACCTATTCTCTCTTATTATTCGGAGTGGTTGAAATTAGTGAGAGCTGTAATCTGGTTTAGAAGGTTCATCGAATTCCTGATGGTACTTCGTATACCAAGTTGTAAAGGATCCGTTCATCTAGGATGTTTAAAGGTCAAGATGCTTGACATCGCCAAGCGTAAGAATTTGTTGATGGTTCAGAGGGAGGTATATGGAGAATTACTTAGTGAATTTAGAAACAGCAGTAAAGTAGTAAGTCATGATGATTTGAAAGGTTTATTACCGATAATGCTTGATGGGTTACTCTGTGTTACAGGTCGGCTAAGCTACTCAGACTTCCCAAATGCTTTTAAACATCCAGTAATTTCACCCAGTCGACACTTAGTGACGGAAATGATAAATAGACATTGCCATAAAGAACCAGGACACATAGGAAGGTCATTAGAAAAAGGATATAGATGTGTGTTTACTTGTTTGCAAACATAGGCAGTACGTATTGAACTGATGTATAGTTTGATTACTGGTTCATTTATAATGGCTTTATCACGCTTTATTAAAAGAAGAAGGAAACCTCCAGAGACTTACAGTGACAGTGCGTCAAGCTTCATGGGTGTAGTTTCTGAGTTAAAGAGGTTTGTGCAACAGTCGAATCAGCAGAAGATAAATATTGAATTGTCAGCGGGACCCTCATCCTACAGCATGGGTGGAGTTCGGGGAAGAGTGATTAGGTCTATACCACGATTGTTATTGTTGATCACCAGAGAACAGATGAAGCAGGTCTCCTTGAAGCTTCGGGTTAGTCTTTTTTGTTATTAATGTAGTTAGGTCGAGTAGGCGTACTGCTGTGAGTCCTACTCGTTCCTATGGTGTAATATGTTATGTAATGAACCATGACCGTAGGCGTCAAGGTAGCTTGTGTAGTATAGAGGGATTTTAGGGGCCAGTGTAAGATCCATTTTGAATGTTTTGTGTGTTTGTGAAAATCCCTCCATGTATATACTTGCCCTTTGTTCCTATTGATCCCCTTAGTTGTACATTGTTGTCTTTTGATTACATTTGAATTGTTAATATTTGTATTTTATTACAGTTTTATTTTTATTACGCCTCCGCTAAGTTTTCGTGTTTCTTCCCGAACTGCATCTGTGTTGTTTTACTTGACACTTGTTCTTGGCGGTAGCCATATTGATTTGCTCCTCCTTTTGTATGCTCTATCCAGTCAGGATAGAATAACGTTCATTTGTTGTGACTGGTAATTTTCCCTCATCTTTCATCAACTACTTTATTTATTGTAATTTAGATTTTATTGATTGAACAATTATTGGTTGAATAGCCGGGTGGTAATATTTGTTTAGGTAACGATTTACATTTAAATTTATGATGAATTATAGAACCGCTATTTACCCGATTACTTGTTTTGATTTCGACGGGAAAGGGCGCGTGTCTAACGTACCTGGAAGGCTATTCAGCAGTCCAAACCGTAGTTTGGATCTTACAGTTACTTTCATTTGAGCCATCGTACAATTTTAAAAAGGCTGAACACATTATAATGCCGTGCATTTTGACAGCTCAAAGTTGAATTTCAACGAAGGATAGTTCTTTATCATCTAAAAGAGCCTCTAAATATTCTGTTTATCATTGGCGATGCAGTAGGTTCGATGTCGAGCGCTCCGTAACGGAGATCTAGATCAGTGGAAAAATGGTCTGAAGAGTTGTCAAACTGCCGATTTCTTTGTGATGTTGGTTTCTAACAACATGATTCTCTAGTCTGAACATATTGATTAGCACTTAACACGAACCACCTGGAGGAGTCCGGTAATGGTGAACGAGGTAACAGTCAATAGATAAATTGAAGTGGCATGGCTCGACCATGAATTCATGGTTACTCTATGTAAAAGCCATTGCATTTTGTATTGAAAATACTACTCTCCATCCAGCTCAAATATGTTCCTCAGAAACGCTAGACGTTATATTGCTGACTCCTTTGATAGAACGGGTCAGTGTAGACGATGATGTGATCACCATGTGAGATCTTATAAATCAGGTCTACACATCATGACATATCTTGTTTTTGGGATTAGGTTCATTATAATACCACCAAAGATAGTAGTACTATTAGTCCTCAACTCCACTGATTTTCCAGCACGCAAATAAAATGTATTCAGATAATTTTAGTTGCTAATTTGGCGATACATACATGCTCGTTTTCAAATATGGTGAATATGACGCTAACATTATTGAAACTTATGTATTATTGCATTGTCGAAGTAAGCCAAAATGTTTTCTTCACAACACTTATGTACCCATACGATGTTTGTGAATAATAATAACGATTGGTGATAATGCGCAAGCGAAGAGGCAGTAGACACACTAGAAAAGCAGTGGAAAGATGTGTTCTTTGAGTGATAAAAGTCCGCATATATTTATGAGAGTTAATCGATGTGGATATAATATTAACTGTTTGTGTTGACAACAAATAAGAGAATAGATAAAGATCGATGTGCAGACAATTTTACATAGTGGATAAAATGTCTAAATTACTGCGAGCAGACAAGAATAAAATGGTTGGATGATTTACTACAAACTATCCTCTTAATTACAAATATTAATAAAAAACAAAGCCTAAATTTCTTCATCATTAGGAATCAGAATTTATGAGGCACGCGCTTTGTTGATACCCTTTGTAGTAAACTTGCGATTAAGTTTGATTATCACGCCCATAGTCTGTCTACGATAACAGTTTATTTAACCACGATGAGCATACTAATATGATGTGCAGTACGAGGACATGTGCCTATATGCTTCTTAGATACTTTTCACGGTTACAGAACCCACATAATATTCTAGAAATGTTTCGTCAGTTCATTTTTTGTGCGTTTAACACTTCAAAAGCTTTCTTCCGACTATCCCGGGACATTATTTTTAGTGTAAATGATTGTTTCAAACCATTTTCCTAAAATACTTTGAGTTTAGTCATGTGGATGCTAGAAATTAACATTGTTCTCTTGTACCTTCTTTTTGTAGATGTGATGAAACACATGTGTTAAGTCTCACTGTGATGCAGAAAACACCTGACACGGTTGTATCGTTTATGATTTCTGATTAACAGATTCTTCCTAATAGCTTCCACTGCCTTTAATGGGTTTTGACGATTAGTCTCAAATTGTTGCCTATTCTATACTCCGCATGATATTAGAGCGAAATTTGAGTGATTTATGGTGAATTTTGAAAATATCGTCCACAAAGCATTGCTATTCGCTTTTGTATTCACTCAATAAACTTAACACATTCTTGTCGGTTATACAGTGTTTGATAACCAGTGTGGAAACAAATTTTTGAACATGTATCCTAACAGTGTGTTTAATTATACCCATGATCTGAAAACTCAAACTGTTTCTTCACATCGGAAGCTCATATAAATCAAACTGTCATTTTTATTTATTCTGAACCATCATCTAGGATTATTCTGGTCACGAAGTCTTCACGAGACTTAACATTGTTCCATGAATCTTGATGGACTAATACTGAGAGTTCTTGGTCATGACCATTGGAATACGGTCTTAAAAATAGCTAGGGCAGAATAAGCACCATATGTTTTTCCTAGTAAATGGACACAAATCCACTCACTTTCAGGTCAAATAAACCAATTAAAAGATAATTTTCTGATACTGCTGCATGTTAATCTTCACTGATGACGAAAAATATCCAACTCCTGAATTTTAAATCTAGCTTCGGCGTTAGATTTGTTTTTACTTATTAAGTGTGATTACAGCTAACAACCTTGACAACTTTGCTTAGTTTGAATACACTTCGAAATGATTATTGTTTTCTGAATTTTTAAGTGTCGTTATGCATACTGTAGAGTCAATAATCGTTTCTCCGAGATACACAAAAAACATTTCAAACGAAAGTGAACTGTATTTCAACTCTAATTGTCAGAGGAATAAGTATCCAGCTATCTCTAAATGTCGTGATCAATATTACGCAGATAGAGTTAGTTATATTTCCTATTCCCCTCATCAGCGTAACAACAGGAACTTGAGTCGCACGAATGTAACTTCAGTCAGTCGACGCAACACACAAGTATATGACGACTCATCTTTATTATGTAATCCACGTAGTTTCGTTAACTCTGACTTATCTTTTTCTTGTAATCATCCACAAAGAGGAAATTCATTCAACTGTTCTCAAAATTATGGAGGTTACCCACTGTCTGGAAGGCCAAGACTATCTAACCAAACTTCAAAAAGTTATTTAAGTCCCTCCATTTTAAATTTGAGCAGTGGAACCTGTAACAGGTCACTTCGCGATTTGCGCAAATCTCCGGAAAGACATGTTAGTACCAGTAGATATCCTTATTTCACGAATAAATCACCGAAAGCGAGAAATGACTTCAAGCCGTTTACGTACTTGAAAAACATCGAAAGAGATCATGATATTCAAAGACAGTACTTATTTGGAAGTGTAAAACCTCGTGACTGTGGAATCGAATACGATCTTTTATCATCAAAGCCCTTGGAAATGAATCAATACACCCTTCCTTTAGAATCGACTAAGGGAGGAAGTTTAATGCTAGAGAATAAAAAGGAATTCAGTCTGAATACATTCAATCCAACTGATCATGATTCTTCCTCTGTTATTCATGTCAGACCTCATCGTATGCGAAAAACTATTGACATAAAACAGAATGACAAAACTCTTGACGATCCTTCATATAAGCGTCTGTCGAAATGTCTCCAGTCAAAACCTAGGACATCTTATGATGGTTCTTGTTGTATGTCAGGTACTCTTGCCGTCACTTTGTATGGATCGAAACTCACCGAATACGAACGTAATGAAATTCAAGATTATGCTGAGGTATATTTCCTAGGGCTTAATGCCCCCAAAAGACATCCACTTGGAAACTCCATCAGTGATGCGTCATACGAGAGAAGTAGCATTATTTCGATCAGTAATATGACTGGGTTCGACGATGCACAAAGCAGTTATATTCTCGTCCCTAATGATCATTTAGCTTATCGATATGAAGTTCTCAAACCCCTGGGCAAAGGAAGCTTTGGTCATGTTGTCCACGCAGTTGATCATTGTACAAAGAAGCAAGTTGCAATAAAAATTGTCAAGAGTGAAGCTAGATTTACTAGACAAGCTGTTGAGGAGATTCGCATTCTCAAAGCCCTCAACGGGCAACAAAATGATGGAGAGTTTAATGTTGTACACTTAGTGGATCACTTCATATTTCGAGGTCATGTGTGCATGGTGTTTGAATTACTTTACATAAATTTATATGAACTCATCTGCCGTAACAATTTTAAAGGATTTTCTCAGTCTTTAGTGAGAAAGCTTACTTATGGTATACTATGTTGTCTTGAACTTCTATATAGGTGAGTATTTTCATAGAGGTTTTTCTGTTTGTACGCTGTGTCACTTTGGAATTTAAAATGCAGTGCTTCTAAAGTACCACGTGGTTTAAAAAGTCATATGAGCGTTCCTAATTTCATTTAATCACTGACCTCTTATGTCGGTTGAGTAGAAACGTCGTGATGCTCTATCGGTGTCTTGGGTAGGAGTACCTTAACTACTGATGATTTTTGACTGTAGTTAACAGCTTCATACTTGGTTTCTTTGACGTAAATCATGGCAGTGAGTTTCAAATTAAAACCCGTTAATTTGAAATGCCTATATCAGCCAAGTATTACATTTTTAACAGTATCAGTCTGACAGGCTTATGATAGTTCAACTTTGTATATCGTAATGTATCATCTGCTTTTTTGAGTGAACATATTGTCTTGGTGTAAGGATACTTCCATTCTTCCGTAAATTTGTGGTCTAAATGTTCAAAATAAATCAATTTATGTTGTACCTTGCTCAATAATCACTATATTTTTGTTGAATCCTAGAGTTACTACAGTCAGCTAATACTTTATCAGTAACTGATCCCTATAAAAATCCTTGAAAGGTTGATATAACTGTCTTACAATACACCCCGAAAACCGCATACCAGTTTCTCCCAGGAGTTGAGAAATCATTGAGAAACAAGAAATGAGGTTTCATTTGTAATACGTTGTATTTAAAATGGAGAGAGTTAATAGAAGCAGAATCTACGATGGAGCAACCCGTTGAGTTTGTTTTAAATAAGTCAGGTACATAGCCAAAATATTTCGAATAATGTACTCCAAGTTTGACGTCAAAACTTTTGAATAGATAAAGTTTTTGAGTAGTTTTAACAAACAATTACACACTAGCGTTTGAAAAGAAACGTAAAATTTTGAGTTTTAATTCACACAGTTCTTATGTGAAGTTTAATTCTTTTATAATTTGTTCAAAACATCTGAAAACTTCTAACACGAGCATTATAACTTTACTTTGACAAATTTTGTGTTTATGTTATTTATTTTGTTCAGATTTTTCGTCTTGACAAACATAGAAAGGAAACTGAAAGAATACATAAAAAGTGTGCTTTATAAAAATATGGTCACTATATTTTTAAAAAAAATCAAGCCAATAAACGAAATCTATCGACTTTAACCTTGTTTAAGACTATGATGAGTGTCGACATTATTCGGTTTAAAGAGGATTTGACAGTAACTAAAGTCTATATCAAAATCTAAATATCAGTTAGTGTTAACCACACTTTGTTAAAATCCATCTTAAAGGGGATTTACGTCAAAATGTTGCATCTCTAAAAGTGTTTTAAATAAAAAAGTGTTTCTCTGTTTCCGAGAGGTTATGCACCTACTTGTTGATGTGGCTACTAGAACAACAAAATATTAGGGATTGAATCTGTATCACAACACTATATCTAAACTTATTTGTGAGGTAAACCAATGCTAGGGCTTCTTCGATGAAAAGAATATTCGTATAATTAGCAAACAAAAGTTAATGGAAATTACGTCAATAGTCACGTCTTGCAAACTGAATTCATGCATATGTCGTGACATTTAGTTGTTTTGGTACGACAAAATTTATGAGTAGGTTCACACTAAGGTGAAAACTAATACTTCATTAATTTGTATGCTTATGCTATTAAAATACCCATTCACCGGAATAAAGAAAGAATCACCTATTATGTTCGAGATCAGTTTTTTAGAAAACGGATATCTGTAAGGCTTTATCAGGGAATATGAGCAATAAGAATAATTTTCAGAGGGTATATGCTTATTTTTAAGGAAATAATTCACAGGAAATTTAAATTTAGGTCTTTTGTTTATCATACATTTTCAAGCTGTCTGAAGCGGTCACTATGAATTACATTTCATGCAGCAAACTTTGATATAACCCACTGCAGGCTATCTGTTATATGACTTTATATGAAAACTCTACAAATTAACTTAAATCACTTCATCTGTCTCTGCACATTTGTTTGTGCAAGCAGTCCTCTAAAACCTCTTTTTCACTGAATTCAGACGAATTTTTTAACGTGGATTAGTGCGAGAATAGCACAGATACATTGATGGTACTATCCTGGACCATGTAATATATTCAGGATACTTAATTATAGATTGTTAGTTACGCGGTACACATATGACACGTATTTGAAAAGCTTTACCCTGAAACCACTTTACACTGCAATCTTTGATCAAGCACAATTTGAAACAATATATTTGTGGACAAAAGTAATTTTCTTGGTCTCTCTTTTTACCATAGCTGTAAATTTAGCATAATTCGAAATTATGCAATGTTTAAAAAAGTGTTTTTGGTTTTCATCTTACTCTAAAGCAAAAAAAATAACTATTTTTCTTTTTATACACATAATGTATTAATTTTCAAATTGTACGCCGCTAAAATTGTCTTATATACTCAAGTGGTTGAATATTTTCCACTCTTTAGAGCTGCCTACTCATAGCTTTTCAAATTATTTTTGTAGTACAACTTGCTACGCTAGCATTATAACAGTTGCGTAGGTGGGCTTTCGATAAATTTAATACAGGATTGTTTAGCTTTAAGAAGTGACTCTTTACGACAAACCCATTTCATTAAGATACTTGTCTGACTATGTTGAAAATTGACTAATTATGTTAATCAAAATTGAAAGTCTTTAAATATGAGAATTTGATGAGTCATACAGACAAAATGGAGGCATTTGGTGTGGTGATAGCCGATTAACAGCATAGTATGATTCTCGGTTTCGAAAGGTTTTAGAGTATAAGGATTATGAAGGAAGTCTAGACCTTCCGTTATCTGATCCAATAGTTCGGCTCCTCAAGTTATATAGTTTCCATTTGGAAGTGTCTGGATTGGATGCTGGACGTTCTAACCGAATCTAAAACATAATTTCTCTTCATCATGTTTATAGAGGGGAAAATTTGCATCCATTTGACTTTACTGTTATTGAGGCTGAAATTTTCAACAAACAACCTTTTTGAAGTTTTCTAAGGATTAAACGGTAATTAATTACATATTTTAAATATTTTGTCTTTAAACCCTTAAGAAGTGATTATTCAGTGGCTTTACACTGGCTAAAAGTCCATGAAACTGATTCAAGGAAATGTTTTTTTCCTTTTTTTCGATCTTGGAGTTTAAATGCATGCACAATAAAAGATAAATAAAGAGGTCGAGAGATTACAAAAATCTTATTGTGTAAAGTTTAATTTCAGTCAAAAAAGACAAACTTCAATGAATGTTCAATGAAAACAAAGATATATATTTAAATATATTCATATTTTCGTAGTAATTTGTCGATTTTATTTTTCATAAGAGCTATTATTTTCTGAAATATCATTTTAAATACTTTATTTTATTTTATAAGTAGAAAAGCATAACACTAGCCATACACTAATTGATAGTTACTAATGATAAAGATATTCAGTGTAAAGGGAAAGAGTAAACGTAATTAATAACAATGTGAAAACTGTACATTACTGTTAACTGTATTGCCGTTTAAACCTGTGTATTAATTTTTTGAATTTTATATATACTCAATTACTTCTTTTTAGTGTTTTATATATCTTCCGTAATTTGTTTACAGTTAACCCAAAGTTTCACTTTTAAACTTTACTAAAGAAATAAAAAATTGCTTACCTATTTATCCGTTTGTCACCAATTCATTCATGTCTGTAAACTAGTATTTTAGAAGCACAACCATAATGTTGTATTTAAACAATTCACAAAAAAACAATACCGTACATTTTTTAAAAGCATTTTCCGTAGATTTCATTATTTACATACTTTTATTAACCATAGTAATCCATTTAAGTTTGTATCATTACGTATAAATGTGCATGGACAAAATAACTGACAAAGAAAGGTAACAATATTTGATTCATTTTCCCTTTTCCCAATTGTGGATAACGACGAATGGTATATTGATAAATTCATGATTATTATTCATTGTTATATATATATATGCAAATGATTTCATGTATACATTAAAGGCTTAGCCCCATGTGTTTGTCTGCCAACCTAAATCATAAAACTATTCAACAAGCAATTATTTAGGTAATTTGTTATGAATTTAAGTGAATCCAAAATTATATAATTTTCAAAATTAAAAATCATGAGTCGATCTAAGCTGGACCACTATTTAAAGTCTGGGGAAAATGCACTGCCGTTTCGTCCATCATGGGACTTCTCAGCTGTGCGCTTCTGCGATTTCGTACTCAGAACTCAAACCAAGAACCTTTGGCTTCGCGCGTAACTACTTAACCTCTAGACCACTGGATTCGAGCCGTGCGTACGGGACCGTGGATGAGCACTGCTGATAGGTCCCATGATGGGATGAAATGGTAGTCCAATGCTTCTAGATTTTTAAAGTTGGTCTTACTCAGATCGAATGGCAATTTTATCTGTGAAAACACCACAATCTCCACTAGTCCATATACCGATAATTAAGTAATTATTTCATAAATAAGTATGAAAAGAATAGTAATCAAATTACGAACAAATATATATTTTCTCTAGATCCCATTTGTTCCATAACTTACTCACTTACTTACACCTGTTACTCCCAACGGACCATAGGCCGCCAACCAGCACTCCCCAACCCACTATGTCCTAGGCCTTCTTTTCTAATTCCATCCAATTCTTGTTCATTTTTCTCATGTCTATCTCCATTTCCCAGCGTAATGTGTTCTTTGGTCTTCCTCTTTTCCTTTGGCCTTCAGGATTCCATGTAAGGGCTTGTCTTGTGACGCAGTTCGGTGCTTTCCTCAATGTGTGTCCTACCCACTCCCAGCGCTTCTTCCTGATTTCTTCCTCCGCTGGAATCTGGTTTGTTCTCTCCCACAGTTGGTTGTTGCTAATAATGTCCAGCCAACGAATCTGAAGTATTTTGCGTAGACAGCTGTTAATAAACACTTGTATTTTCTGGATGATAGTTTTCGTTGTTCTCCAGGTTTCCGCCCCATACAGTAGAACTGTCTTGACGTTTGTATTGAAAATCCTG